GTACGTAAATATATTTTCTTTCTATCTCGTCTGTTAAATTATAAACATTAATTGGTAAATTTGTTGTACGTTTTTTAATGCACGTACTAAAGCACTTTCGAAGCTCGACTCTACCTTTTAAACATCGAAATCATGTAACATATGTTGAATTGAACTTTACTTGATTTTGACTTTGGTGCAGTTTGTCGATAAATAGCATATTATACACGGTTGCAGTAGGGTTCAATGCTGCAGCCAGGTCAGTTAATTTTTATAATTATATTATATAGTCACTTTCAATATTACGTGTCTAATATTTTTAATGAATTTGAAATTAACAGTGTTCGAGTGAGCAATGAGCTCGGAGCAGGAAACCCTAAGTCGGCAGCTTTTTCTATTTTTGTGGTGAATTTTGTTTCATTTATCCTTGCCTTGGCAGTTGCTGCAATGGTATTATGGCAACGTCATAGAATTAGTTACATATTTACTAGTGGTGACACTGTGGCTAATGCAGTATCAGAACTTTGTCCATTCTTATCGGTTACTCTCATTCTCAACGGTATTCAACCCATCTTGTCTGGTAATATTTTTCTCTCAAAAATAGTTACTCCATCGAGCATTATTAACAATCAATATTTAGTAAATTATATATCTTTATATTGTCTTTGGCATCATCAATTGTTTAGTCTAATGCACTAAACACAACATTACTGTTTGTATAAATGCGAAAATCGAAGGGGTGGCCGTTGGCTGTGGATGGCAAGCATTTGTTGCCTACATAAATGTTGGGTGTTATTACGTCGTCGGAGTTCCACTTGGTTGTCTTTTGGGATTCAAATTCGACTTCGGTATTAAGGTATGGAAAATATCGAACATGTTTAATATATTTGATTAGACTAAATTAAGAAGATGATTTAAAAGGAAAAACACACGATATGATATTTTATCCAACCAACGTAAACAAATATGTTGGATAATTGAATAGATATTTTATTATTGCATAGGGAATATGGTCAGGAATTATCGGAGGAGCAATGATGCAAATCATCATATTGCTTTGGGTGATTTGTCGAACTGATTGGAATACAGAGGTATTTATTAATAAGAATTTTTAGTTTATTGGAGTGCCTACAAAGTTCTCAATAACATGAAAATATTCTTATTTTTATTAATATTTACTATCCTACTTTCTACACTGAATGGTGAATTAACTTCTGACCTTCAAAGGATGCAAGCATTATTTTTGACAATTTAGGATCAGATGGATGAATTCTTCCATGCTATATTTCAAAATTTCTACTTTTACATGAAGATTCAAATGAATTAATTCTAATTAATCAATAAATATTGAATTTTCAGGTGGAGAAAGCAAGGAAACGTTTGGACAAGTGGGAAGAAATAAAAGACTAAAGAGCCTTTTCTCAAGAACTAAAAGTTGGTTTCAGCTTACTGGATTAATTTGTTTAATAATTTCTCGAACGTCAACTCGTCTTCATTTTGTATCCTCATGCATACACTAGTAGAGCCACTTTCTTATTCCGACCTCCCCAACCATTTTCACATTTATCAAAGAGAAGTCGAATGAAGTTTTTTGAAATTGCAAATCAATCTTAGGGACTAGATTCATTTTAAAACTTGCTCATTTACTTATATGTAAACATTTTAAGGACAACCTTCTATGAATAGAACTATATTGACATGTTTGGGTCGTGATGGTTGGATTGCATTGAATTAGATCAAACAGTAGTAATAAAGAAAAAGAAGTTAAAATTAAAATCTCGTTTATTATACTTTTCATTCCCATTTCCAACCTCCACTAACACTCTCAACCTCAAACAAATAAAATCAACAAGTCAGTGCATTTTTTTTGTTATTTATATAGTCCGAGTGTGCTACCAAACTTAGGTATTCTGCATTTATAGATACCATAATCCATAAATTCTAAAATTTAGCTGCAACTGCCTCCCTTTGCTTGCCATTGTTCTAAGATTTTGTTTATTTTGAAAAATTCAAAAATTCAAAAATCCCAGGAGAGAAATTTTATAGCTGTGTCACCCATGCACTCAAAACTTCATCAATTCAAACGGGGAAAATAGCAAAATTCACTCAAAAACAGATGGACACTCAATGATTTGAAGTCCATTTAAACATCATAGAGGTCCAAGCATTGAAATAAAAATTGAGGTTACTGATTTTTTCTAGTCAATGTCAGGTATGTCACTTCGTTCAGCCTCTCAACAATGACCAGCATTTTGGCAAATAGAAGTTTTGGTGAAAGAATAATTGGAAGTAAGAGATAAAATATCAAGGATCCAAAATAAATAATCATGCATATTGATAGACTTCTTTATTACCGGAATTCTATTGGGATACTTCTCCCTGATCCGAGTTGTTTCTGCCCGCCTTCCTTTTCAACTTAGATAAGAATTATTACGTGGATAAAACAAACCAGACCATCTCAGAACCAAACCAAACCAAGCGGTTCGATTCGATTCTATCAAATAAATTAATAGTTTTGGTTCTTTGAACCGAGAACCATTTGGTTTTGGTTCAGTTATAGTTCAAAAACTAGAACCAGAATCAGAACCAAACTTAATATTTAATTTTATATATAATAATTAGTGGAGACCTTAATTTTATATTCATTGGAGATAGCCCATTAATTGAACACAGTTTATTAATCAATTTTGGGTCATTAGAGATAAACAATTCGTTAGTTGTCTACACTCTAATTTTGTATTCAGTTGAATTATTTCTCCTTCACTCCTTTTCAATTTACACAACGTCGCAGCATATTGGGACCACATTTCATCAAGTCACTAAAGTGTAATTTAAGATCGGAAAATGAAATTGGTCAGTTACTTAAAAAGTCTCTAAACTCTTTTTTTATCTTGATTGTTTGAAGAGTTATTTGTGTTCTGCACAAATGGAGGAAAATCCAATAAACATTCATGAAATATTAAACAGTTAATGTTGCATATGGAAGTAGACTGTAAAAATTTTGATAATTCATTCTTTATTGTAAGGTTGTACCTTCAAAACCACTACAATTAATTTAGCGAATCATTGTTACTACTTATTAAACAATTTTTTGTATGAAAACGAAAAATGATTTGTGTATTCAAATTATGAATATATTTTGTTTGTTAATTATGACTTTTTTGATCTCGATGATTGAAATTTGAACTTCCTAAATGTTTGATATTTATTTTCTTATTTAGGTATACATTACTAATTTATATGATGCAAATCTAAAATTTTAAGAAATGAAATTAGAACCAAACCATACCAAACCAGAACCGAATGGTTCGGTTCAGTTTGGTTTCATATCTTTAAAAAAATCATTTGGTTCCATTAAAAAAAAAAAAATCATTTGTTCATAGTTTGGTTCGATTCTTTTGGAACAAGCACTATATAGAACCATGTCCACCCCGACAGAGAAGAGATGCATCATGAATACTGGAAAGATTACTTTTAAAGATGAAAGACAACAACAATTTGAAATATGCCGAGTTCCAAAAATCATTATTTTCATGTTCAACACAACATATTTCTATTTAAAAAGAATTATATTTCACGCATTGCACAATGCCTTTCCAAAGAAAAACACACTGAATAGAGCAAATTATCCGCGGATTTACACCATCTTGTTCGTGCACAAAATATTTCCCTAATACAATATAACAAATTGCAAAAAAGAACTGATATCCTTTGCATTGTGTGGTTAAAAAGAGAATAGTCCATGAGTTTAATAGCTAATTATAAGGAATAAGATTCAATCGGTGTTTGAATTATTTGTATTTTCCTCCTCCAGATTAGTCGGGCGAAGCTCGGGAAAAAAAAAGTAACTGAATCACGGAAAGTACTCATAGTCAAGCAGATGATCAAAGAATAAAAGTTAATTTGTGTTAGCGTGTGGGCAAAGCGCATATACCGAGGAGATGTTCCAACTTGAAGGAGCTTTGGGCCATGGCGTACAATGCTACGATTTACTACTGCCCAATGAGCTATTTATCCAGTAAAAATAGAAATAGATTTGCCTCAATTTCGAATGAGCGATTCATTAAAAAGTGAACCAGTGTCACTACATAGATACAAA